ATATCACCATGGAAAACCCCTCGTTCATGGCAGTGTTTGACCGCTTGGCCTGCCTGAAGCATTAACCAGCATGCTTGTCTTTCAGTCATGTCCTCTTCCATCATGATGAAATCCTCCAAGCTCTTGCATTCAGGTTTCTCCATGATGAGCACGAAGCCACCCTCCTCCTCCTCAATCCAGCTGTGTAATTTGATGATGTTGGGGCATGAGGGAGCTTGTCCCAAACGCAGCATCAGTACCACTTCTTCAAGCACAGGTTTGGAAACATCAGGCTAGACAGAAAAACAACAGCGGTTAGTTTGCTATGAGTAACTCTTAAACTAGAAGATTTGAAGAACATTGTCTGTCTATTTCAGCTTTATGTTTGCTAACTTACAACATCAAGATAACGGGACGTCCTGTGTTTGGGGATGGACTTAATGGCAACCTTTATTAAGTTGCTGAATATGTGGTTTCCCTCATACACCTTGCTGAATTTTCCTGATGTCATCAGACTACCCACTTCAAACAAAGACACGACAGATCCTGAACAACACACAGAACATGAGTCTGCAAGTTTCTTTGATGGTCTGTTCTGATCTAATCTGCAGTATCTTTAAGTGATGTCAAGTCACTTTTATTTATATAGCACTTTTTACAATACAGATTGTTTCAAAGCAGCTTTACAGTGATAACATGAAAATAATAAAACAAAGTTTGGTTCTAGAAGAAAATTGCATCATAGTCCAGCTTAAGTAAGTTCAGTTATGGTTCATTTTCATATATACAACTGCTCTGGAGAAAACCGTGATGTCATCGTCCAGCTCAGGTCAGTTCTCATATAATGGTGTCAATGCAGGCAGATCAATAATATTGTTGAATATTAAATGAATGTCCCCAACTAAGCAAGCCAAAAGCCAAAGGTGACAGTGGCTCAGTTCTCAGAGTATTTCAGCCTAAAGTCACAATAAATAGGCCATTAAACAGGGCAGACATAACGTGAACCAAAGCAATAGCGACTCACCTTGAGTCAGTTCGATTTCTGGATCTGCAGACTCATCATTAGGCTTTTCTGGCACAGATGACACTGAACCGGCCTGACCGACCGGCACACATACGGGCAAAGGGAGATCCTCACACACCTGGCCTGGTAGACACACCAGCTCAGGGACAGTATGATCCGTGTCAGCCGTCAGCATGATCCTGGAGGGACCCGGGACAGACCCCGCCTCCTGAGTGTTGGGCTGTTGTGTAATGTGCTGGACACTGTCCGGGACGGGTCGCAGCAGAGGAAGGGCTGCTTCACAACCGCACCGAATCTCCTGAAGATCTCACGGACTGCTCTCCTAGCCCTGTCTTTTGCAGGCTTTTCTAAAATGAAGAAAAATAAAATGCAAACTATTAGAAACATCTTTGACTACAGATTAGAAACAGATTCAGTTTTCAACAACTTCCTGAAAATGAGACTTATTTTATCTGATAACTGGATTTAAGAAATGAGTAGCTCTACAGGGCTCCAGACTAACACTAGAGCAGTTCTACAGATGGAGGCGCCAGCACCTTATTCAGTAGCGCTGGAGGGTTTTTTAATCATAAAGTTAATTGAATCATGCAGTTACTAATAATATTGTAATATAAAGCTAAAACTATAATAATGTTTGTTTACTTGTTATCATTATTAACTTATTTAACATTCAATACACATAGTACGAAGGGTTTAGCCTTATGAAAAAAGAAAACATGCGAATATCGCGGTTGCTGCGGTTACTTGCATTGCTCTGCGTTTGGCCTGTCAGTAGCGCGGTACTGCAATATTGCAGTTATCGGGACAGCCCTAGGAGGGAGTGCGTCCCTGAATTTAATATTTAATAATTCAAAGAAATCGGAAATCAGAAATTTACAATCAGAAATCCTGATGTGTGGGGGGAAATCCAAGTATGTGCATATATAATCTGTTGATTGTCAGGTGGAACGACACGATACCCAATCAGAAAGCTGACAGAAGACAAGCATAACAACCGCAGTCATGGCGCAGCACAGAGCGAAATGGATATGGACATCAGAGATGCAGGATCAGCTTGTCTATTTGTGGCAATGTTCTGTCAAAAGCACTCCAAATCATAGCAATTTTTTTCCTGCCTATTTCCTGCTATGTTTATTCTGAAGTCTCGAGAGATTTAGCGAGATTTCTCATGTTCACAGTCGGAACTATGGTTAAAAATCTGTTTGTGTGTGACACCACACACTATAGGAGAAAAACTGTTAAATCTAGGATTTTTTGTCCTTGTGTTTGTGGTCTCTCGCATTTTGAAAATCTTATAAGATTTTAAATAACTTCTGGTGTGGCCTTAGCATTAAGGATCCACTCGTTGATCTGATTGGTTACAAGGTCGTTTGTGACGTCAGTAACACCAGCGATTTCAAGCCGTGTTTTTGAGACTGTCTTTGGTTCACTGCAGTTTTAAGGAGAAAATACGCAGTAATGGTGTTGACATGAATTTGCACATGGTTTGTCTTAAAGCATATTAAAAATACCACATAAACATATTGTAAACAACATTAAAACCTTGATTTTCACCACAGGGGGACTTTAAATGAGACCTCCAGAAGAAGGAAGAGAGCAAAAGAACAGTAATGTTCAAAGATTAATGTGCAAGATTTAATTAATCACCCGTTGTTCCACATCTCACCTGTTGGGCTGAAGGTGCCTGCAGGAGAAGCCTTCGTGTCTCTCTGAGCTGATGCTCCCTGAAGACCAGGCCGATAACACGACAGGCTTTGCCTCATCTTTCAACTCCCTGATGCTGACAGAGTCAGATAACATTCAGAGCCGGATTATCCATAAGGGCACTTGGGCCAGTGCCCAGGGACACCAACCATTCACAACCACAAGGGGGGCACCACAGGATTAGGGGTGGGGTTAGGGATCAGGGGGCGGAGATGGGTAGGTTTAGGTATATGTAAGGTGGGAGGAGTTGGATCTGGATCCAACTCCTCACCCTGGATTTCGTGTTCTGCAGTGAGCACCATCTCCGGTTTATAGCTACTCACAGTGACGTCACACTAGAGATACGCACCTTTGTTTATCGTTGAATTTTACAGCGGAGTGGAATATCACACACATATAAACCGAGGGCGAACCAACTGTAGATGCGCTTCCCCTATAAAACACATTTAAATAGATTTTCAATGACATAGATTTTCAAATTACGTGTCGCCTAGTAACAACATACACATAGGCTACCAGCAAAAACGCTCCCGATAACAACCCATTGTTCATGTTTAGTAGAAAAGCAAGCATACTGTATGGGTGATTTGGCATGGCAGCCCAAACAAATAATATGCTTTGCTTTGCCGCGCACTCGTCCTTGAAAGTGAAGCAAAGGCGTCTCGATCACCCCCAGGTGGCCATAAACCCTGCCCTCCCTTGATCTCAAATTAAACAACCAAAAAACACTTCAAATAAAAAATTTTCCTGTCATTTTAGGCAGTTTTTATCACACTGATTATCACGTAAGTGTTCGGTTTTAGTTATATGCCATGAAAACGGCGCGCGATGATTGACAGCTCTCTGAGTGATGTAACGTTAGTCACTGAGGCATCAACTGGCTTTTTCCCCCGTGATAATTAGCTGTTCTGAAAGTAAACTGTACTAACCTACCTGATGAACCGATGGATCATTGATTTTTTTTTTTGTTGGTAAGTTAAATTTGTGATTTATATAATCAGTAAATAAATGTTATGGACCAGCTAACTAAAATCATAGACTGTAAAAGTCTAAAATACAAAGATTGTTGATTTATCTGTCCACAAAATTGTGGCCCACACAAACAATTTCCTCCGGCTCAGATGTGGCCCACACCCCTGTAACAATAGCAGCGTTTCCACTGCCGGGCTAGGGCCGGGCCAGGGCTAACATTAGCCGCGTTTCCACTGCCGGGCCAGAGCCGAGCCGTGCTAGTGCGTGCCAGGGCCAGTCGCGTTTCCACTGTCACTTCCGGGGCTTGATCGGGGCTTACTCGGGGCCAACGGCCAGGATTTCTGGCCCGTCGATTACCTTGGGCCAAAGCGGGCCAGCTCGGGCTAGAGGCGTGCTCAACGTAAAAGGCGGAGTTTATCGGTGTTATGGAACGTTATGATCTGAAGCAAGATGCACATTTCACTTTTTTATATGTTAACAAATACACTACAATATAAACATATTAAAGGTGCTCTAAGCGATGTCACGCGTTTTTTAGGCCAAAACTTTTTTTGTCACATACAGCAAACATCTCCTCACTATCAGCTGGCTGCCTGTCCCCCTGAACACACTGTAAAGAAACGCGGTCTCTGCAGACACCCCAGGCTCCACAAACGGCAACAAAAACAAACTGGGCTTACCCGCACCATGAAACATAACAAACTGTTCCAGCCAATGACCGACAAGAAGGGTTTGGGGGGTTAGTGTACGGATGAGGAGGAGGGAGGGTCTAGCTAGCCTCCGTTTTGTTTGACAACACTTTAAACGTCAACAAGAAGTGAAGTCACCCGACATCGCTTAGAGCACCTTTAACAACACTTTTTAAACCACAAAATAAAGAGTAAATTTTATTTACTGTATATTATTAAAAGAAAAACATTCTCTCTCACACACAAAAACTCTCTTTCACTCTCTTTTACTAAATAATTTCCTTTTGCAAAAGTCAAGTCTAGTCAGGTTTCATTATATAGCGCTTTATACAATACAGACTGTTTTAAAGCAGCTGACGTCACATGCATACCCTCTATGAGTGCAGGAAGCAATATCACTCTACAAAATTGTCACCAGTCACAAGAGTACTTTTCTTTCAGGATATTTAGGGCCCATTTTGGTCACTAATTAAAGCATTCACACAGAGCTGGATGACTATGTTGATGCACCTGTGGACTGGCATGGGCCAACATGGGAATTCACTCTAGTCAAAAAAAAAGAAAAGAAAACAAATTCAACAAGGAACATTTGATTTAAATCCCTCCTTCATAAATCTTATTGTGTTTTGTAGGGAATGGAGAGAGGAAAGGAAGAAAAGGCATCAGCAGACAGTCATGTGTTTGAAGACAGGGAGCTGGAGAAACACATCACTCCTCAAACTCTAAAACCAAAGATCAAGCAGAACCCTCTCTATTCTCACATCAACATCATCCACGCGGAGGAGAACAAGTCCAAACCATCCTGGACCATCCAGGACTACGACAGACACACTGCACACGGTCAGCTGGCAGACTATTTGAAGGTACATCTGCCCATACACGCACAGACAAATGCACATATTACAATTTGAATAACATTGTATTTTAAGAACGTGATATGATCAGGGTTGGGACAGTTACTTTTAAAATGTATTCCACTACATGTTACAGAGTACACGCTGCAAAATATAATTTGTAACGTATTAGATTACAAGGTAAGTAATCTAATTCTTTTGGATTACTTTTCCAACAGTGGTAGATTTTTTTAATCTGATCTTTTAAGTATAACAAAAACGTGAGTGTATAAAACAACTTTTTCTGAACACATGTGGATTATTTTTGTATAATTATATTTTGTATATTATTTGTAGCCTTTTATACATTGCTTAAGTATAATGCAGTGGTTCTCAAAGTGTGGTACGCGTACCACTAGTGGTACGCAGACTTCCTCTAGTGGTACGCAGGGGAATCACTGAATTTCGATCTCACCGGTTTGAGTAGAACGGTGAGTGTATGACTTGACCAACTAACAGTGTTGGGAGTAAAGCGTTACAAAAGTAATGCATTACAGTAACATATTACTTTTTGCTGTAACGCAGCAGTGTAAGTTTTAGTTTTAATTGTAAAAAAAAAAACCCCACAAAAACCCACCAAGACCGTGAGACATTAACGAATGAAAATTGCAAGTATAGGCTTCCTGTTCGTGGTCAGTCAATAGCCGCGTGTGGTGTCCAAGTTTGTAAATAAAGACTAAATGGCAGCGTCTGATATATTTGTATAGCAATTTAGTTTTTACAACATGATTTTGGCCTCTGTGCTCACGCTGGCCAGTGGAAAAGCGGCTAATGGGTGAAGATGGCATGAAGAAGACTACATACGCGAGATGGAGGTATGCGCATTGCGCATTAGGCTACTCTATTTGTTCTGTGTTTTCTTTCTAAACAGTTAGGCTATTTTTAGGTGATATTTTTCATGTTTTCATCACGCAATCATGTTCTCTTTCATCATCTCGTTTCGAGATCCACCTATGGGAAGGGCATCCGTACCTGACCTCTGCAGAAGCATCCAATTGCACCAAGTCTGGCTAACAGACAGAAGCGCGCAGCCAATGCCAGGTGAGGCCACACCCCCTTACCTACGAGCATATCACAGCTGGGCGCGCTGCTATTCCTCAGTTGACATTCGCTTCTCGCGATCTCTGCATTGACACAGTTCGGTTGGATTAACGTTACGCTGCTCACTTTCGAGTCTTCAGGAGGACATATCGCCAGATCAGCCTCCGCCAGACGTGAGTGACAGTCGTTTCTTCAGCCTATCCGCTGTGTTTTTTGCATCCGGAGCCGCCCGAGCTCTCGCTGTCCTTCACCTGCTCCTCCTTTACATGGCTGCCCGCCACGGATTTTTCCGAGTTCTTCACCGCTGGCCCACCCATGGCTATGTGACCGTCTAAACAGCCGCTTCCCCCGGGGAACAGCCTATCACGACAAGCCTGCCCGGCCGCGTGTGGTGCTCTCATCGCCGCTATAAGGACCCTCTCGTTCTGCGCGGTCTGCTTGGGCTTAACACGCTCAAGCTTTGGAGAACCCGGGGAATTGCGGTCATTGTAATTGCTGCCCATGTAGCTTTTACTAAGCCGGCTTTTAGTTGCACGACACAGCGCGCCGTGCTCGGCCTTTCTGACTCGGAGGAGAGACACGGTGATGATGACGCTACCGGGGGACTCCCGGAGCGCCACCTCTCTAAAATATTTGAGCTGACATCAGCCCAATCCGCATTCCCTGAAGAGGACATCTTCGCGGGAAAACCTCACTCTCGTTGACGAACCGGTCGGTTCCGGCGACGGGGATGAGGCGGTCCTTTTAGCGTTCCCTAGGCTAGCGTTCACGCGGCTTTGCCTCCGTCCATCCTCCTGGAAGTTTGTGAGCGAGCGGCCGTTCGTCTCAACATTGTGTGGCCAGCTCCACAGAGCGCCACCGACCAGGATAGGAATATGTACGACGGGTAAACGCTGGGACCACCGCCCAGTCTGAACGGCCGGAGCGTCCCGCTAGACTGTTAACACGGTCTCACGGGCCTTGATTTGTTACGATTACGTGTTGAGGTTTTCAATTTATGCCTTCCTAGGAAGGCGGTCCCGAACGCAAGCGGCCTGCCTGTTGTTCGACCATTGGGAGTAACGTTAACTAACAGGGTCTCCCACCTACGGTCGGTTAATCCCCTCGCGCGGCTGCCCAGCCCGTATGTTAGTGGACGTTGTGTGTGTGTGTCCCCTTCCCCCCCACAACAACAAGTTACGGGGGAGGGGGCTGTCGTGAGGGAAAGTACATAGCAGTGTTACCACACCGCACGCACTTGGTTCCCCTCACCCAGTTATTAAAGGCTTCGGCCCCAGTGTTTCCCAACACAAAACACACACATTACTAAACAACACATTTAATAAACGAATCAAATGAATTCGTGCAGATTTATATATCTGCCAGCGGCAACATAGAGAGCAAATCTCTCTGATCCCATGCATGTCGCCCTGAGTCCGTCCACAAGAGGTCGCCATTGCCTCATAAATCAACCAACTGGGCTCACACAGCTCAGTTGCGGCTGTCCAGCCGACGTTTTTTTAGTGGACGTGGTGTGTGTAAGGCCCCTGTGTTCCCCAACACAAAACACACGCATAACTAAATAACACTTAAAAAAAAAAAAAAAAAAAAAAAAAACGCATTAAATAAATCCGTTACAGAGAGAGTATCTCTCTCCGCGGATATTATTTTTCTGCCTGCACTTGAGACTGCCCAGTTCATGTGTTCAGGAGATATGTGTTTTTCCCACTTTTGGGGGCAACTTGTGAGGGAAAGTTCAGCACAGTGGACACCACACTATGTTTCCCTCACTCTGTCAATAAAGGCTTCGGCCCCAGTGTTTGCCCAACACAAAACACACAAAGCTACGAATCAAATGAATTCGTTTTGGAGAGAAGACCCCTCTCCGCAAAGAAAACTTCTCACTGCAGAGAGAGGAAATCCCTCCAAACCCCTGCATGTCGCCTCTAGTGTTCCCACTAGATGGCGCCTTTGCATCACAAATGAACCAGCTGGGCCCATACAGCTCCGCTCCGGCCCGAGCGGGGGCGCTCGCGAGTCACAAAGCGGCTTGGCAAGCCGTTTCAGCGCCCGAGTGGGTTTTTGCGTACTGTAACCCAGGGTTACAAGCTGCAGTTTGCAATAAAACCTCCGCATTTCAACGGCGTTCTCTCTTCTCACACAGAAGAAAACGCCTCACACATTCTGAAAGAGGAAATTTCCTCCCTCCTAACAAGGGGGCGATTCAGATGGTGCCACCCAATCTGATAAACCATGGTTTTTATTCCTGGTATTTTCATGTTCCAAAAGGCGTGGCGCCCCCCCCGCCCTATATTGGACCTTCGAGTGTTGAACAAACATTTGAGGAAATTCAATTTCAGAATGTGACACAAGCCTCTCTCGCCTGTGCCATAAAGCAGAACGACTGGTTCACATCAGTCGATCTGAAAGATGCTTTCTTTCACATAAGCATCTACCCTCCACACAGGAAATATCTTCGTTTCGCCTACCAAGGCGTTTGTTACGAATTCACAGTTCTTCCGTTCGGGCGCAATTTGAGTCCCCGAACTTTCTGTCTGTGTGCGGAGGTGGGCGTGGCGCCCCTGAGACTATCAGGGCTGAGAATTCTGACTTACTGGCTCATCATAGCCAAATCAAAGGAGAAGGTGTCGCTGGACACCGGCCGGGTGCTCACGCACATCACATCCCTCGGGTTCAAGGTGAATGCGAGCGAAAACAATCAGACTCCCAGTCAGAATGTCATTTTCCTGGGCTTGGAATTGAACTCAGTCTCCATGCGAGCGCGTCTCTCTCAAGAGCGCGTTCGCTCGCTGATGGACTGTCTGTCTCAGTTCAGTGAAGGGGCGAGAGTACAATATCGCACATGCCTCAGGCTGCAGGATCTCATGGCTTCATCTATACAAGTTGTGCCATTGGTTTCCTGAGAATGAGAACGTTCACGAAATGGGTTTTGTACACTACATTTCAGCCCGATTTGCGATCTCTGCCGCTCGGTAACGATGACACGCGCCTGCTCGGCGGCCTTGCGCCATTGGGAGAGCGAGAACTTTTACGCACGGGGAACCCCCCCCCCTCGGGACGGTACGAGGTGAAAAGTTTTGACGACAGATGCGTCCTTAACAGGCTGGGGAACCACCCAGGAAGGCAGAACGGTGAACGGTCTGTGGCTGAGCAGACTACGTTCAGCGCACATGAACTATTTAGAGCTTTTACTATTTGGAAAGCTCTGAATCATTTTCTGCCTTGCCTGCAGGGACATCCTGTTCTAGTACGGTGCGATAATACCACGGTAGTGGCTTATATCAACCGTCAGGGTGGCATGCGCTCGTCGAAACTCCACGCTCTAGCTTACAGGCTTTTGGTGTGGAGCAGACAGGTTTTTCTGTCATTACGCGTGACTCATGTCACTCATTCGGAACAGAGGCGCGGATCTGCTATCGAGGGGAAACCCAATCCACGGGGATTGGCGTCTTCACCCGCAGATAGTGGAGAGGTTATGGATGAGATTGGACAGGCAGCCGTAGATCTTTTCGCCTCGCACGAAAATCACCATTGTCCTATGTTCTTCTCGCTAAAGGACCCTCGGGGCAGACGCACTGGCACACCCATGGCCCAAAGTGCTGTTGTATGCTTTTCCTCCCCTGTGCCTGATAATTTTCACACTGGCCAGGGTGAGAGAGCACGGCCTGTCTCTCATTCTGATAGCACCCAGGTGGCCCAAAGCCCCATGGCTGGCAGAGATAATCCCTCTGTTATACGCCGAGCCATGGCGCCTCCCCCCTCGCACGGACATACTGTCCCAAGCCAACGGGGAGATTTACCACCCCCACCCGGACAGGGTGGCTCTCTGGGCCTGACCCGTGAGAGGACGAACCAAAATGCACTGGGGCTCCCGCCGCGTGTAATCGCCACTACTCAGAAGGCTAGGGCCGTTTCCACGCGATCCCTAT